AAAAGTATGATCCAATCAGCGCGAAGGAAACTTCCAACAGTTGCAAAACAAACGTTCTGCTGAACGCAGCCATTGGCTACGTTTACACTGTACGCTTAGGCTGCGGTCCATTTGACACTACAAACGCTTCGAAGCATTCTTTGATTAGTCAATTCGTAAAATTCTTCGTTCTGATTGGTCGCTCAAACGCTTCGAAGCGTTTGTAGCGTCAAGTGGACCGCAGCCTAAACTGTCAAACAAGATAAGACAAAGCACCGACGAGATACTATTAAAGACCGTTAACCCTGGGCAAATTTTCGGCGGTATAAAAAGGCCCCCAAGGGCCCGGAGGTAATCGAAGAACGCTGACATTATCGACAATTGATATAAATTTGCTATTGTTAACATAAATATTTGACTAATACATCATTAAATTCATGATATTTTATTACATAAATGCTCTATAAATAAATATGCATATTTGTGAAGCTATAATATCCTATATATTGCCGAAAAATTACAATTTTTTTCTCTGCAGTTATTATCTCTGTTAATAATCGAACTTTGACCGATAACACTGAAATCACAATTTTAAAGAAAAATCGAGTATTATTGAGTTTTAAATGCACGTACACCGATAAACACGTCTACTAAACTAATAAATCATAAAATCAGTACAATATTATCAGTTTTTTTACTCTTAATCACTTCAATATTAACAAGGACGCGAACTCCAATAAGGATGTCGGTCTTTAATAATATCTCGTCGGTGGACAAAGTAGTATAAAATTATATTTAAACGAATCGTATCAATTCTTTAGAGGGAATATTTATGTATCAATAAGTCAGTTGATTAATTGTCATTATAATCGCTTTTGCGTATCATCATAACCTCTTAATTTGGACTGCTGTTAATGGAGTAAAACTTTACTCGATAGTAAAGATTCTCGATAAAATTATTCCAGAAATTAAAAAAAATATTATTGCATTACTCAGATAAATAATTCTGTATGATACGTAGAAGAATTTCATATGGTTTAATCTATGGAATATTCCAACTGTTTGAAATGAAGTAATTTTAAAGGCATTTGTGATTGCTTGTTTGTAAATTAAAACAGAAATGTTTGAAGTTAAGATATTGTATAATTGCATGTACGATTGCAGTATTATGTTCTTACATTCAAGAAACATTGAAAAAAATGGTAATTGTGAAGCATATATGTATATCTATCGTTAACGAACAAGTAATCAGGCTTTCTGTATAATATCAGTAATCACATGATGTAATAATCCACCATGAATAATCACAATTTAATCAGCATGGATACTTTCAAGAGAGCAAGAATGAGATAGAGTGAGATAGAATGTATAGGATAAAATGAAATAGAAATATGTCACTAGTACTATAAATGGTTGCCAAGTCATGTGATTGCAACAGTGAATCAGAATGCGTAACACCGGTTGCGCCTCTCTGATAAATCTAGGACTTTAATGCCCGTATTCATAGTCAGGCCTTATATTTAAGGCTTCCTTAAATTTATCTTTAGATACTTTACGAATTATTTCATTGGCTATTGAGCATCTAAAGATAAATGTAAGGAAGCCTTAAGTACAAGATCTAACAATGGCTGCGTTCAGCAGACTCAACAGTTTTGCAACCGTTTTATGAATGGCTGCGTTCAGCAGAACGTTTGTTTTGCAACTGTTGGAAGTTTCCTTCGCGCTGATTGGATCATACTTTTAGATCTAGAAGAATGGTCTTATCTCAGCAGACAATCATAAAACGGTTGCAAAACTGTTGAAGGAAACTTACAACAGTTGCAAAATAAACGTTCTGCTGAACGCACCCAATGGCTGCGTTCAGCAGACTCAACAGTTTTACAACCGTTTTATGATTGTCTGCTGAGATAGGACCATTCTTCTAGATCTAAAAGTATGATCCAATTAGCGCGAAGGAAACTTCCAACAGTTGCAAAACAAACGTTCTGCTGAACGCAACCTATGAATACGGGCATATGTTAATTTAACTGGTCAGTTAGTCCATCGGAATTGATCAATCGCATTTGTCATTTTGTTTGCTTCAAGAGCTTGGTGACAGTGGCCCTAGGCCACAGCCTAGGCTGCGGTCCACTTAACGCTACAAACGCTTTGAAGCATTCTTTGATTAGTCAATTCGTAAAATTCTTTGTTCTGATTGGTCGCTCAAACGCTTCGAAGCGTTTGTAGCGTCAAGTGGACTGCAGTCCTAAAAGACTGACATAAGTTTTGGTTGGATAGAAAATGACGTTCACAGAACTATAAGTCATAGGACGCGTTCGCAACTAGGACGGAAAAGCAGAAAAAGTAAGAAAGCAGAAGTCAATCAGAATTCGGGCTGTACTATTATCTATTACCAGCACGATTTTTGATTGGCTTCTGCCATTCCATATCAAAAATTAGCCCATCTATGCCAGTCTCTTATTATAGTGTCTCTACTCTGCACGCCCTCACAAG